CTGGGATCAGAGTGTCTCTGTCTCACAGGTCAGTAGCAGAGATATAAAGGCTCCTCCTCCCACCCTGGTTTGGAGAGAGTCTGGAGTCTGGCCCCTCCCTGGGACACCCGAGAGGCAAGGAGAAGGGATTCTGCCCAGCCAATCTCTAGTGATGGTTGCTGGAGAATTCCCATGCTGGGCACTCTGGATGCTCAAAGCCCCAGTTCCCAAGAGACCTGGAACCACAGCAACCACACTAGGAAACTGGGCCAGCCTGAGGGACTGAAGGAGAGAAGAGGGGAGAGGAGGAGGGAGGAAGGGGATAGGGCCTGTCACACTGATCCCTGACAACCTTGGCCTTCTGTATAGGGCCCCCATGGCCTGAGACAGGGGGCCACATGGTCATCATTTGAGAAACCTCAGCCTAACCCTAAAAACTCCTCATTTTCACTCTGGATCCCAGGAGGAAAGGGCAATTTCAAGTCCCTGTGGAAACATTCCTATCCACCCCAATGTTCTTGGTCCAAATTAGCTTCGGAAGGGACCAGAAGAGGAGGTCAAGGAGTGAGCCCCAGGCCACACTGCCCAAGGGCACACACATGCATGCAGACACACACACACACACACACACACACATCCATGCACATACTATACATAGCCATACACAATCACACAGACTCATACTTACACACACACACACACACACACACACAGCACAGAATCCGCCCAAGGCTGTGGTTCAGAAGGAAGATTCTAAACCTCAAGGAGAATCAAGTCCTAGAAATACCCAGGTTCCCTCAGGAAGTTAGTGCCATCCCCTCCCAGGAACTCCCAAAGATCGACAGTCACTGTCACTCCCAGGGCAAGATCTTGGGATTCTCACAGTCCTCTCAGCCCCGTGACTGTCCTACCAGTCTGAGGATCAGGAAGCACAAGAGTCTCCAGAACAGGATCAATGTCCCTAAGGAGCCCCCTGCAGGATGGGGCGGCGTCTGGGAGCGCTCCTTCCCACGACCCCCAGCAGCTGCAGGAACTGCCTCCCCTCGCGGGAGCCACGGGGCACCTGCTGATCACGCCCTGGGCTCTGCTAGATGTGCTCCCTGTGCCTTCAGTTCACTACACCCGTGTGGTCTGCTCGGAAGCAGAGAGTTTCCCCAGGGAAGGCATCCCTGCGCCTCACGGAGTCATCATCAGGAACTTCAGGCTTATGCAAACAAACCACTTCAGGGTCCCAGAGGGCTAGTGTGGACCCACCACCCCAGCTGAGCCAGAGGCACACGCCACTGACCCTCGCTCATCCTGGATCTCACTGAGTATCAGGGTGTCTGTGCTCAGGCCTTTGCTCCAATCTCTTCTCTCCAGCTCTCTGCTGCCCCCATGTGGCTTCCTGAAGAAGGGCTGGGCTACTTGAAGGCGCCCTAAGTGCCATCCTGGAGCCCCTTCAGACAGGCAACATCTTCCACTGCCTGAGCCTTGAACACCCCAGACCCTACCTAGAGCCCCTCCCCAAACATCCAACCTCCACCTTGCAGTCTGGAATCTCAGCAAAGCTTTCTGACACGGCCTGAGTTGCATCCTGAGGACAGAAGGACAGAGGCCTCCCTGAGCCACAGAACGCTGCTCCCCTCCCCTCTGCTTGCTTCCCCACCTCCCTTCCCTCTTTTCCCCTCAGCTCCCCACCCAGGCTTGCCAGCAGGCAGGAAGGAAGCTGCTCATAGTGGGGAGGGCGGGGCGCTTCCAGCTCACACTGAACAACCCCGGGCTGGGCTATAAAGAGCCAGTGCCTTCCGCTCCGTCACCCGCCACCCTCCACCACCCCACAGCTCCTACACACACCCCTGGGGCCAGGGCCTTCCTCCCCCAAGGCCAGGGCATCCCACCCCAAGCCATGCACAGCTCTCTGCTCTGGAAGGGAAGGCAGGAGTAAAGTTTGCTGCCTTCTCAGGGAGCAGGTGGAGCCGAGGGCCTGACTACTAGCCCGCAGAAGGTCTGTCACCCTCCCTGACCAGGCCGATGGGGGCTGGGAACTGGGCTGTCCTCCCCCAGTGGCAGAAAACACAGCCACTGTCAGAGACCAAGCAATTGGGTTCGCAAACAAATTCCCTCAAAAGTCCTTTCCAGCTTAAAATCTCATGAGTTAAAGTTAAAATTCTTTCCTAGTAGTGGAAACTTCAACTCTGTGCATTTTGAAATTTGGGGGGTTTTTGCAATGATTCTAAAATGCAATTGCTAAGAAGAGCAGTCAGCCACTGAGATGCATAAGCCTTAATACCCATCAAGGGTGGCTGGCCAAAAACAAGGCAGGACACGAGGAAGGGTGGGAAAGTCCCCATCCCAGGGGTGGAAGAATCACAAACCATCAGGAAAGCCAGGCCCTTGATGGAAGTTAGGACACATGGGCAGTGCTGGCTGCAACTCCAGGAAGAGTGACCAAAGGGGGGCTCCCCTGTCGTCAAAGCCTCACCTCGACGTTCTTCAGCTGTACTTTTTCTCCCTCTTTTCCTAAAACCGCTGCCATGGCTCCCTCTGCCCAGATCCACACCAGTTCAGGCCCACCCCTGCCCCCACCATCAATGCCGCTGTGCTGAACTGTCCCTGACCTCCCTATGTCTGGAGAATGCCCCCTCTTGGCGCCGTCACCCTCAGCAACCCAATCCCTTCCCTCTGCCCACCCAGACCCGCTAGCCTCGGCCGCCTCCCATCTCAATGGCCCCTCTCCAACTGCCTCTAGAACAGAGCCATGGGCCCCTGGGCGGCCGCATACATTAGCAGTTGAACAAGCCAGTGTTCACGAAGCACCTACTCGGTGTGGGGGCCACAGGCCTGGCAGAATCCCAAATGAGCAAAACTTGACCTGTCCTTCCAGAGCACACGAATTCATTTGGAAGAAAGATCAGACACAGAGCAAGCTGCCCACGAACCACTCTGGGAGGAACCAGAGCGAGAGATGTTCCCGTGGCCTGGGGAGCATGGAGAGAGGGGTTGGGAGGAAGGCGTCACAGAAGAAACACAGTGGGGCCTTGTGGTGGTCAAATCCGCCAGGAAGCACACTAAGAAGGAATTAGAAGCCTAAGAGATTTGTGCCTGTGAAACATAATGGGGAGGCAGGGAAAGGCTCTGGAACAGGATGCAGGTCTGACATCTGTGAAAGGAGAGAAAAAGAAAGAGGATGAGGTGGGAGAAGCCTCGGATCACAGTGAGTTCTGAGATGGTCTCACCAGGCCAGCGGGAGCACCACAGAAAGACCGCCTGTAGACGCCCCCAGGGCAGCAGTGGTGAGCCATGTACCTCCCGGGGCTCAGGGATTGACGCTTCGGAGGAGCGTGAGGGCTTGGGTTTTGCTGCTGGGCAGATTCTGAGGCCATCACACCTGCACCTCCTGCAGCAGGTTCCCTCTGGACAGGGTGCCTCCTGAGATGCCAAAGCTGGGCCGTGAGGAAGGAAAAGAAAGATCTTTAGTCAGAAGGCGAAGGGAAAGGTGGACAGGGCAGCATTAGCAAGAGCCCAGGGGCAGGAAGACATAAGGACAGGTTGGATATCTGTGAGGAAGCCTGTTTGTGTAGAACAGAGGGTTTGAGCCGCACATTTGGGAAACTGACGGCCAGGCCAGTGTGTTGGAGTGGCTCTGACCTTGGGTTGAAGGTTTCAGGGAGAGCCAAAGCATGAGGGAAGCCCTGATTTCGAGATGAGTCTGGCAGCAGTGTGGAGCACAGATGAGAGGGGAGACCCCAAGGTTAGGAGACCACATGGAAGGGCTAGAGTCAGTGCTATCGGTGAGAGGTCATGAAGAGTTCAGCCTCTTATGCTCCTTGTCCCTGAGGAAGCCAGCCACAGCTCTCTTAACTGGAATCTGGAAAAAAGGAGTGATGTGTAGTCAATGGTGACCGAATGGGAGCCAGAAATGGGGTCGGCCTGCTTCAGGCACAGTGAGGAAATGTGTCTGAGAGGTAGGGGCCTGGATCCCATCTCCAGCCTCACTGGAAAGGGAGGCAAGTCGGGTGGGGCCTCAGGCTCCAGGGAAGAGGCAGGCTGGGGGACAGGCCAGGAGTGAGCACAGGCTTCAGCCTTCTGCCTCTCACCTGCCCCTTGCCTGCAGGAGGGCCAGCGAAGCTTTCCAGGCGCCCAAGAACTCAGGCTTGTCCATGTTTACAAGGACCCCTCACCCTCCTCCTTCTAGACTGGCAGACCCTACCTTCTTGGTGTGATCCCAGAGCTCAGAGCACGGCCCATTCCTTCCGGCTGGTCCGCCTGCTGCCCCCCGACACCCACACCCAGGTCCACACCAATCACATCCTCCACTGCTTTTCAGAGGAGTCCAGCCAACACAAATCTACATGTTTATTTGTCTGCCTGTCTGCCTCTCCTGGTCTCTGCCTATCCCAGTCTCTCAACTTCTGTTTCTTTCTTGCAGATTCTCTTAGCCTCTGTGGTCTCAAATCCACAGGGCTTCGACCCCTGTAGATCCAGATGCCCCAGCTCATGGCCTTTCTCCAGCCCCTCCATATCTTAGAACTACAAACCCCAGCATGCACTACTGCTCAAGGTGCCTGGCGAGTGTCAGTGGGCACCACCTGCGTGCTGGAAATTGTAGTTCCCCTCTCCCCACCCTCTTGCTAGGGCTCCAAGTCTCCCCAGTGGGCAGTGTCTGCCTCAGCCCTGGCTGCTGGGTTTATCTCTGGCCTACCACCCCCAGGGAAGCATGCGTCACTGGATGACAGGGTTGGGGTGGAGGCCCTGGATGGCAGCTTCCTGCTCTTTTGTGTCCCCCACTTGAGTCACAGGGGGTGGGGGTTCCAGGAAATTGGAGCTGGGGGGGAAAGGGATACCCTAATGCCAGACCCAAGGGCAAAGGGTCACTGCATCCTTGCTGGGCCCATATCCTCAAGAATCCGAAAGGACTCGAAGGTCCAGGAGCACCTAGATGTAGGGGGGTGGTGAAGGAGAGTACGAGGGTGACCCTAGAGGTCCCTGGTGTCACTAAGAGTCTGGGAATCATTGCCTGCAACTGACAGAGGGCTCACCTGCTGCCTGACCCCTCAGGGCAAGGCCAGCGAGGGTGAGGTGGAAGGCCTCTCCGCTGGTCGGCACCACAGAGGGCTCTTTCTGCTGCTCGGGCTGCTCCACCCCACCATTTTCCTGGGCCCCAGGGCTCTGCCAGACACCTGGGTTCCCACTTGTCATCCCTCGTTCTCAGAACGGAACCCAGGCGTCCGGCCCCCCCACCCTCTGGGCCTGCGGGCGGGGAGCCGAGACTTTAGAGCCTCCCAGCCGGCCTTGTTCCTGTCCCATTGTGTGTGGGACAGGGGCGGGGCGAGGGCCAGCAGCGGAGAGCCCCTCCCACTGCCCCCTCCCCTTCCTAAGGAAAAGGCTGAGGCTCGGCTGGGAGCCGCACAGCAGACGCGAGGCCCAAGACGCCAGGCCGAA